ACATTTTCTTATACATATATATATATACTTCGCTACTGTGGACAAACATCAGAAGTCATTATAATACAAGAGTTTAATTTTCAAAATAAACCATTTCTTGCATCCCCAAATCAACTTATCAGAACAAGTTCTTGAAAGCATCTCATACTTTGAAGACAAAAACACAAAAAATTACTCCTACCAACTTTGTTATCAAATGTTGAGGACTAATGAACTAGCAGAAAATAAAGATATAATTTTTAAGTTGTAATGTAAAGCTCATGCGTACATATGACAAAATGAAACGAACGCGAACACAAATGGACGAACAATGAGACTGCAAAATCTGAATAGATCAGCTAATGAAACAAACGCGAACACAAATGGACGAACAAATGGACGAACAATGAGACTGCAAAATCTGAATAGATCAGCTAATGAAACGAACACAAACACAAATGGACAAACAATGACTGCAAAATCTGAATAGATCAACTAATGAGAGGGCAGACAAATGTATAAGTGCAGATCAAGAATGTCAAGTTCAGACAATTTTATAAGCACTAGTCAAGACTTGATACAAAACTCATGGAATAAAAACAGTATTCAACTTTCAGTGGTCAATCTAATGGTTCTAGGATACTTCTATACAAACTTCCCCTTCACGTAGTTGCTAGATTCCTCCTACTTTTTTCAAGTCGGGGAGATCTGTCAAGGAGACAATAAGAAGCGGTAAAACATTAGTACCCATTAGTACTCTTTAAAGTGCTTTTTATTGATTAAGATTAAAAAACAAATTATTAATTTTATTTCAAAAGTTTTTTTTTTTCTTTTTCCAAGTGGTATTCCAAGGGCCATAAGATTCATAAGAAACAACATATGGTAAAAAATTAAATTGGACTCACAGAGCATTCCTCCATCCTCGCCGCTTCCATCATCTAGGCCCATATCCTATAGAAAATTATTTACATAGCTTATATAAGACAACTTGAACTTTTGACTAAATTAGAGCATATAGGAAATAAATGTAATCAACTTACCGCAAGGTCGTCATCAGAAGTTAAAGCGGCTGCAAAATCAATTATATTGTTAGAACAAATATTATAAATACGGAATGCAAGATTAAAGTTCTACTTCTAAGAATTTTGAGGCTACAAGTGCTAAGTTACAATTCACAAATAGCATAGCCAAATGGTAATGGAATAACATGGGATGGCAGTTTCATATTTATGTAAATAGAAGCAGAGCCAAATCTGATAAGGATCCCAATCCTAAAGTTGGGAGAAAATAAGACTGAAATTGTATGGTAATATAGAAGAAAAAAATATACTAGAGCTTTTCAGAAAGGCGATCTTTCTTCCAAAGTAACGCATACCCAAACCAACATCTTAAGTCATTATCAATGTGCCATATAGCAATGGCTAAGATTCCCACTAGTATCCTACTGATCCTTGTGCTTCAATCATAAACCAACATCATAAAATTATGTCAAGGTCCCTATAATAGTTTTCAACGCAGGATATCTGCTACAGAACGTTGGAAAATTCAAGCAGTTAAACTAAAAAGAAAGTAGTGACAAATAAGGCAGAGAAACGTCAGCAATATCAAAAAACGTGCAGGTTGGAAAACTCAAATTGTTGAATAGCAAAAGGAGAAACACAATATGTATAAATTCCTATCTACTATTGGTATTCCATCCTTTCAAGAAAGAAACGTGGTATGTATGGGTTCAAATTCTTCTGTCATTTCACAAACTATACTCCGATGACATTTTGGCTAATTGATAAGCTGTAATGTAACTCCCTTTTTAAGACAGAGGTTCTCTCCTTTTTGTATATTCCCTCTACAATATCTAGGGTGTTTGCATTTCATATACCAACAGTACATCTATGTTACAAGAAAGAACTTACAGTCTGATTCATCCTCATCACACCATTTGTTCCAGTCAACCTTCAAGTATGGAGCAGGTTTTTCTTCCGATTTCAAGAGCCGCTTCCACCAACCTTTCTGTTCTTTTTGGACAGAGCAAATTATGTTCCTCAGGCCAACCTTAGTTTTACAGCCCTGTATCAAGCAAAGAGAAGGATATTGGATAAATATAAAGTAAATGTTAAGCCATCAGATTAAGCGTGTTAATTAAGTTTCAACTCTACTTTGTCTCGTTTAATTTTAAAATCTGATTGTTATTCTTGCTGTTATATGTCAAAATCAATGACTGTATGCCACATGTGTGGAGCAGCTTTGCTATTTGCTGCTTGCCGCTTCTTAGTTCCTTCAATACACCGAGAAATATAAGAAAATACTCTCCTTCTCTTACAATTTTCTCCACTCCCTCTGATTTTCAGTAACAATCCTAAAATTTTTTTTGCGAGCTAAGCTAATAAGCAGAAGATCTTCGAAAACAATCACAGCATTGATGCCATTTTCCCAAACATTTAAAGTGTCAACAACTCCCAAGTCCCAACTTCCGCTCATGTGGTCCTTAACACATAAGAGAACAAGAAACCACTAGATATGATATAAGATCAGTAATGGACACATCAAGATCATTCTAAGCATGGTCTAAACAGAAGAAAAAAGTGCACCAAAAGTTATTCAATAGCTCACCTCAGGCACTATGGACCCGAAGAGTTCCAAAGTGAAGTCAAAAGATGCGCCTTGCAGCCCCTTTGCAGAGAAGCTAAATAACCCATGAGGTTCACACTTCACAGAAATATCTTTGGCATCAGGTAAAGCAACGGTCAGATAAACCTTATCCGAACGCTGAGCCCATAGAACCTCCGGATTACGACTACTGCATACACGAGAAAAAAATGATCGCCATGACTTGACAACTGCCTTCATCTATCAAGGCGATCAAAACCCCAACTCTATCCATTATGACCTACATTTACCAGCCTTACACTCATTCAAGCAGATTACAGACAACATCTTCCACAAGCATCGATCCAGAAACGTAAACAAAACCAATTCATCCCCACAAAAGAATCCAGTTACAGAAATAAAAAATCTCAGATAATAAGAACAAAACTGGCGTGATTTAGCGGGAAGAAACAAGACAAAGCAGGAAGTTAAAAGGAGCGAATAATCAAAATCAATAGCTAAAAACACCACAATAAAAGCTAGATGATCAAATACAAGTAGTGTTACATGTGAAGAAACAGCAAAATTAACAGTAAATACCTCATTCTGGGGAGGAAAGGTGGCGATTGATCGGAAAGAATGGTGAGGAGAATGGAGAGAAAACCCTTCCCGGCTACTCCTGAATATAAAAATTGAAGTCCACTCTGGGGCTCTGTGCGTAACCGCTTAAACCCATTTTTGGTCGGAGGAAGATTGGATTAAACTAATTTTTCGGTTTCAAGTTCGAGCGTAGCTCAATACTATCCATTTCCTCCATTAATTTTTTTTTTTTTTTTTTTTTTTTTTT